ACCGATCTGACCGATCTGAAAGCGATAGCTTTGATGCAGGAGTACCATTAACTGTGCCGATCTGTCAATTTCATTACCAATTGTTGCATTGAGTCCAGGGAGGCGGCAGTTTCCAATGGTTAGCGTTTTCATACTTCGTTGCCAATTCATTCAGTGTCTACTTATAGGTCGCTTCCACTCAGCAAAAAGTTGGGCAAAAAGGGCTCTCTGAGGCAGACGGTCTTCTGGCCTGGGGATTACATGTCCTAACCAGCGTAACCTATGAAGTATGAGTAATTCATTTATTGCGGGAGAGTTCCTTCTCCTCAAGACCATTTGACGTACATCAGCACTGTTAACCCAATGTTCCCAATAGACCCGACCCAGTGTGCCAGCTCTCGTGCTTCCTTCTGGCAGCATGACAGTTAGGCACCGAAAGTGTGCTACAGCTGAACTTTTTGCAGGGGTTTTCTGGTTGCCAAACGTCACCAAAGTTTCAGACGTTCGACGAAGTAAAAAGCAGCTTTCAGATAAAAAAAGGTGGTAGAGTCGTCAGATAGTTCACCAAGGTGTCACCACCTTTGAAAAGCGCGGTGTGCATACCAAACGGACCGGAGCTTTGACGCGTTGCAGGAATGACATTAATGCTGAATTTCTATCGTTGGCGATGTTCCATCCAGGCTCGGTGGGTCCTTCCAGAGGTTGTGCTTCAGACAAGCCAGATAAACTGCTCTTTAAATGGTCTCGTCCACACCTGTATTTTTTGGTCGGTTGGCCGTACCAACTGAAGCAAGGTGTGGCTGTTTTCTGAAGGAAAAACTTCCTACACCTCTTGGGATTTTGCAATCCACTAGCTTTCTGTCATTCTTCAAGTTCTTGATTGGCCGGTGTTAAAAGGGTACGCCCACGCCACCACAGCCGCTAGTTGCTTGTATGGTAGCAGCAGTAAGATCCGCCGACCTGGACGACATCCGGTGATCCCAAATCAGAAATCATAGCTTGTCTCACTCGCTTCCATTCAACCTCTAACCAATCACCAAGCCGACCATGTATTTGCAGTAGCTTTATAGCCAGAATAGTTCGATAATGTGGAGTCAGTGAGACTCGCTGAAGTTGATGAAGAGTTGCTCTGATTCGTCGCGCGTACTGATAAAACAAAGTCACAACCGAGCCTGTAGAATGGAATGATCGAGGACAAGCTGCGTGGCCCATGAGGTACGGCGATCTTATATTGAGGCTTTCCATCCGTAACTGATAGCCACATGATCAAAATGAGTCCATGGCTAGCTTGCGGTTGCTGGCCTTCAAGTAATGTGATGATAGAGTTTGTGCTGAAAGTTTGTATTAGCTATGAGCATTCGATGCCCAATAGACAACTGAAGAAGCCTATCATCCCTACACTGAGAACCGACTCCAAACCAGTCGCCTAAATCCATCATAAAGGAACTGAACCTTACAATGGTGTGAATGTTTCTGTGCCTCCGTGACCCACTGAGCTTTAATAGGGATATGCTCGTGCGAAACTCAGAGCCCCTCAAACCAGCTTGGTCAACAATTAGAGGTCTGACCAGCAGTCCTCTGGCTCTCCGAGTTCGGCGTTGGAAAATACTTCGCCTTGCCCTATAAGAATGATAGTGCGCTTGCATTTCCCGCCAGATGACGTTGCCTTTTGGTCGAGTTTTCTAGCCAAAGGTTTTGGCGGAGGACTCTAACCGTGTGCTGACATTATCCTGCAACACATAAAACCATGATAATTACTACCTAACTGTTTCTTCTGAGCTCAGTCATCCGACTTGAGCATTCATTTAACTAGCCAGAACGACTATATCCGTTCACCCTGCTGATCGAGACAGTAGGCAAATCAGCGACATATTCGGAAGCGCAGTCTTTTGGAGTGTGCAGTTCCTAAGGCCAACCTTTATAAAATCCACCCTTCCTCGAAAGAAGGCAGCATCGCTGCTCCGATAAATATATACATGCTGGTCATATGGAGGAAACGCCCCATAGCCTTTACATTTCCACCACAATAGGCGGTACGGGTTTACCTCCACGGCGCCTCGTAATATGATTTCCGTAGTGCGAGGACTAGCTGCCAGATTACTCTGTTAGCCCTCCTAGTACGGTTAAACCTCAGGAAACTGGGTTCTATCCAGCACATCACTGAATGTATGAACCACCATGAGAACCTGACAGTCTCGGGTTGGGTCATCGGTGGGTGTCCTCAGTAAGGAGTAACATCAGCCTTTGAACCGTGAGGAAGTATCTCCAAACGGATTGCCATTACGTTGCCTCCGATGGTGCCGCTTCACTCACTGCGTTCTTCTAGTGGCTCGAAAGATGAAAAGCCAATATCTCGTGCTAAAATGAAGCAGACGTTTCACCCGGTTATCCGTTCAAGGAACTCGTCTAATACATAACCCGAAGCCAACGACGGGGGTCGGGAGAGGCAGTTCCGACTGATAGGGGGTTCGATTTGACTCTGGTCTAAAGGCCAGGATGAATGGTCTCTCCTAGGTGTATCTTGATACCGCCGCCTCGCAGTCCACGCTTAGTAGCTGAAAGGCAATTGACTCTTAATATGCACACCCTCGAATGAAATCCGCACGGCGCTTGGGACGCGATCGACAACTGATCCCCGAGAAATACTATAACACAACTTGGCCTGGAACCCAGAACCTCAAAAATGGATTCGGAACTTCTGCAGTACATAGTCCCATCTCCCTTGATTAGTCAGAGACGGACTGAAAGCCACCCTGAAAGCAAGTTGTCCTCTGATTGGTTGGTAAATCGATCATAATTCGACAACCAATCACAGTGGCCGATGGTTCGCCGCTGGGGTGTCTGTGTGCATGAGCACAACTAATCTACATGACATTGCCAGTACGATGTGAAAGGAAAGGCGTCGAGATTAGAATTGCATGGTTGCTCTGTGTATTGATTAATATGGTGTATACTATTCCAGGTCGACATTTACGAAACACCGACCAGCTGAGTGAGTATTCCTGCTGACCTGTTTTCTGATTGACGTGTCTTCTGGTTGGTGTGTCCGATTGGCCCCAAGATATGACCTCTTTGTCCCCACAGCTGGGAGACCTTTTTGTCTCCACAGTCCGTCCCGCCCAAAGAGGGTCGATTTCGATATACCACTCGATTGAACCCTCTATTCAACGTCATGCATTAAGGAATTCTAAACGATTCACTTCACTTCGGAATTTACTTCAGACAGCAACTCATTCCTGAAAACTCTCTATATTTATGCATCTGCAGTCCCCCCCCCTCACCAATCTCACCCATATGTGTTATCTTGCACCGTGCAACGCGGTCGAGATCTGCATTTT